GGCGCCCCACACCCCAGGGGACGGAGAGCTGTGGCACCCCAAGATGGCAGGGCTCCCCACTCCCAGAGGTGGGGAAAAAGGAGGGGATGGGGCACCCGAAGATGGGGACTCGCCTCTTCTCTTGAGGTGGGGAGAGGAAGGGGGCGGGAACGCCCCAGGTTTGGAGGGTTTTCCCCTTCTTGTGTTTGGAGGTCTGTGGTACTTTGGGGTACGGGTTGCTCCCCTCCATGGCTGGAGGGCGGGGGCTCCCCCGGTGTGTGGGGTTTTCCCCACCCTCGGGGATGTGGGGCTGGGAGCAGCTGGGGCCCTGCCAAGGTGTGGGCGTTTCCTCCACCCTCAAGGCTGGGGGGCAGAAAGGGGGAATTGTGACACCTCCAGGGTGCAGGGTGCTCCCTGAGCTCAGGACTGATGTGCACTAAGGGAAGTGTGCAGGTTGTTTAGTCCTTTCTGTGCCCCCTAAGCAGCAAAAGGCTGGTTGGTCTGGTGCCTGAGCATTTGGTGGCGTCTGTCATAGCTGGGGCCTTCCAGTCTCCCTCTGTAGCAATGTAGTAATTTTTGGAGAAAGAGAATTTTCCTTCTTCCCCTCTGTAAGCTCCATAACTGAGGAAAGAGCAGTGGTTTCTCTGTGGTCTCCGTGTCCAGCTGTACTGTGGCTGTTCCCAAGCCTGCGTTAGTGGTTTCCCTCTACCCCGTGTCCGTCGTGCTGATGACTGCGCCCTGCTTGCAGGATCTCCGTGCTGGGCCTCGTCTTTCTGAGCCTTGTTACTGCAGTTCCTTTCAAAAGCTAAGAATGGGGCACACTATAGATATTTTTTGGGGTTTTTTTGGTCACTTTTCTGCTTTTAGATGAGGGCTGTCATCTTCCTAGGAAGTCGAGCTCCCGTGTTGACACAGAAACAGTAAATGCGTCTTATCTCTACCTCACTTCCCATATTGTAGAAGGAACCAGTGTTGACTTCTGACGTTGCTTAACCGCACTTGTTTTGTTGCTTTTTGCTGGGGTTTTTTTTGAGTTTGCCTTTTCCCAAAGGAAATGAGGCATCTGCTCGCATCGGGTGCGGGTTTTTCACTTCCACCCAGGATGCTGCGTGGGCTTGGCCAGGGTGCGCTTCCCTTGGTTAAAGAGTGGCAGGAGGCAGGCGGGGGGAGCGCTCCCTGTGGGACGTTACAGGGGTGGTGTGACTCTGCCTTGTGCTGTAGGTGTGTACACACGGCTCTGGCCTACCAGGGTTTATTTATCCGCTGCCCTTGGAACTGGCAAGGATCACTGCACTCAGGGTATCATCTGATTCTGAATCTCAAGGAATTCCTCCTCCAGGACTCCAGGAGATTCCTCTGAGGGGTCCTTTTTGGTGATTTCTGAGTTAGAACAGCAGACAGCCACTGAAATGTGTGCGGATCTAGCAGGATTATAATTATTGGAGGGATGATGTGGAAAGTCTAGGTTTTGGTGACACAGCTGATCTTAACGTGCTGGCTGGAGCCTAGGTTAACCCTAACGCAAAGAAATGTGCATCTCTCCTTGGTTTGATGTCCGTGCTGTGCTCTAGCTGAGTGCTGGTGCTGCTAGTTGGCTGGTTTATACCCTGCTTCAGGTGTTTATATGGTAGAGAGAGGTGAAAAACCCCATATTAACCATTTAAATTGCACTTTGACTCATAATTTTAACAGTATTGTTGCAGCTTGCTGGACAGAACTCACCCATTAGAAGTCCACTAAAAAGACTCACTTTTAAAAGTCCATTAAGAGACTTTGGGATGCCCAGCGAGAGCTGGGATCATCTGCCCAGCCCTTTCCAGGGAAACGTGCGTTCTGCCAGACCAAATCTGCAGCTGGAAAGTAGGGAATAGCCAAGAGTGAGGAATTTGGGGTGAGCTGTCATGTGTTGAAGAGGCACTTGAAGTTGTCTGCTTCTAAATAAGGGCAGTTCTTTTCCATTCTTATAAAAGCAAGCCATTGTCAGGCTTTTCCTGCGATCAAAGAAATCAAGGACATGTCTGTCTGTCTCTGGGTTGGGCTGTAGAGGAGCGCGTTACTTTGTCATAAAAAGCCTGCAGATCTAATGCAATGGGAAAGTGAGATGCTTTGAAATGTAAGAGGGTATTTTAAAAGATCCTCAATCTTTCTAAACAGAGTAATATAAGAAGTAATTCTTAAATCCTGCCCTAATTTCTGAGCTCCACGTGGAAGACACAGGGAAATGGTGTTGGTCCCGTTAAGACGGGCAAGAGAAATTTGAAATTTGCTGTTTGAACCCCAAGTCGGGTGTTTTAACAAGATGAGTTCTAAAACCAGGCACGGGTTGAAAGTAGAAACTGGGATGTCGGTGGAGTTCTTTTTAAGAACAAAAGTATGAATAATATTTTCTGGTTTGGCTAATTATAGCTCTTTGTTTTGAATCGTAGGTGCAGCGTTAATAGAAGTAATGACTTCTCTGTAGATGAAAACAACATCTCCCAGCCTAGCAGTTCTGGAGCATTATTGTCCATTTTTTTGTTGCTCCTAACACTGAAATTAAGTGACTTCTCACCTGCTGCTTTACTGTCCTCTGCAAATGGCTTATAAACAAGGTGCTGTGTGTCCTGGAGTAGACTCCTGTAGTGTTCAGTGTAACAGGATTTTAATCTTTAAGCCAGTGTCACTGCGATGCAGGTAGCAGGGCTGAGGACCTGTAAGGGACCTTTTGCTCCTCTGCTTACCACACAGGTACATCTTGCATTTATTACCCATTTTCTCTTTATTTTAAAGACATTTCTGGGCATCTTTCTTTGTCTCTGCCGTGGGTAGAGAGCTTCCAACGCACTTTTGAGCTCGGTTTTCTCCTCATCCCAAAACGTTCTCCTCCTGTTCTCTTTGGAGAAGGAAATTCCTGTTTCGCTCTGCTATGGCTTAATTAACTGGAGAGGGCTCTGCGGGGTTCCTGTGTAGCAAACAGCTTTACTGGCCCATGCGATCAACAGTTTGGTTGTGAGTGGTGATCTCTTCCGTCAAAACGTGGGATTTTTATTTATTTTTTGATGTACTGGTAGCCTTGACGCGTGTAGAGATGTCATCCTTCAGAAAAGAAAACCTCGGGTCAGGCTGATAAGCGTGCGATAAGGATTGGGCTTTCGTTTCTCTGTGGATCCAGCCTTGATCTGTGACAAAGAATGTGAACTGGGAAAGTGAAAGAGCAACTGGTTTGACGTGGTGTGATATTCAAGGACTTCAGGGGCAGAGTTTTTTGTGTTTTGTCTTGATCTGTGCTGGTAAATTCCTGTGAATTCTGGTCTGATGCGGTGCAAATCTTCCTTCTGTCAGAGCTCACCCGATTGCATGCGTATCTCTTCTCTTTAACTGCCTATGCCAAAACCTATTCAATGAGCAGCTTTCTAACTGAATTAATGAACTTTGGGGGTATAATTGCAGAAGCTGGGGATGGGCTTTACTTCACAGGAACAGTTTTGGGTGAGTTTCGGTATCCAGCAGCCTTTGGGACCTGGCAGCATCCTTCAATTCCTGCAGTTGTTTATCGTGAGGACCTGAGCGACTCCTTCGAGAATCAGCATAAAGCAAACAGCCACCAGTATGGCTCTTTCTTTCCTCACCTACGCCTTTGTTTGTGTTCTGTGTCTTTTCAGGCAGATTTTTTGAAAGGATTACCCGTCTACAACAAAAGCAACTTCAGCAGATTCCACGCGGATTCTGTATGTAAAGCATCAGTAAGTATTGCCACGTTTCTTGTGCAGCTCAGAGGATGCTAAGGTGAAATAAAGTTAAAATTAGGGTGTTTTTTTTCGTAAAAAACATGTATGATCACAGTTGATAGTCAGGAGTTGAGATCGGCAAGGAAAACTTCCTGCCTGCTTTGGTGGCGAATGTGACCCCGCATCAGCCAGACCACCTCTGTGGTGCTTGCTTTGTGTATGCGTTCTTTAATAACAGTCTTGTCCTGGAAGACATATAAAAAGTGGACCTTTCTTTATATGGGTGGTTTTTAAAGCTATAGCCGTAAGAGGGCAGAATATCACACTGCATTTGTAGCCTGCCTTAACGAGGGCCTTTTGGGTGGTGGTAGAAATCTGTGCTTGGGCTAAAAATCGCCTTTTTGCTGTCTCCATTCTGTAACTGTGCTCATTCTCCTATAGAATAGAAGACCATCAGTATATCTTCCCACGAGAGAGTATCCTTCTGAACAAAGTAAGTCTGCCTGCTAAAGTTTGAGGGTTTATAACTTCATTCTGTTCCACTGTTAAAAATCTGGGGTAGACGTAATCTCTCTTAAACAAAAGTTCAGCTCAGGCGATGCTGTTGACTTGTTACCACGGTGATGAGCAGTGTGTGTAGTTACTGCTTTTTGTGCTTTTCCCTCCTCCTTATGAAGTGACGAGTGTTTCTGCATACTGTCCTTTTATTAAAAAGCAGAAGTGAAGTCATGTAGTGATTAATGCACCGTTCTAAGTTGTTTTTGAAATGACCTCAGTATGTTTCTTTTCTCTCCTTTTTTTTTTTTTTTTGGCAGTCATAGTAACAGAAAAGACAAATATACTTCTGCGTTATTTACATCAGCAGTGGGACAAAAAGGTACGTTGTGTTTTCTTAATACTACTAACATTTTGTCTTGATTTGCCAACTTGAGCTAATTGAGGTAAATCAAAGTATTGAAGGTCAATTAAAAGAGAGTGTGAGCTGCGCTTCAGCAAAAGATGTGCAGCGACAGAGCCCCCTTGCACTTACACTTCTTTCTAAAAAAAATAAACAACTTTTTCTTCCCCTTCAGTTTAAGGGACATTAACTCAGTGTTTAGTCTAGAACTTGAGAGACTGCAGTTACATCTCCTGCTTCCTGCAGCTTTCCATTGTGGTTTTGGCAAATCGGTCTCCCCGTGCCTCGGTGTCTACTTTACAACGAGGGTAAAGCTGCTCTTGGCTCCCAGGGCTGTGGGGAGAAAGACGGGTGAGCTTGTGCAGAACGGGAATGCACTAATGAGGGTGTGTAAGTACCTTGGGTACAAGTTTGGAGCTCTCATATGAGGAACACACAAATTAGTGTGCTCCAGTTAGTGTGTGAGATGAGGAAACAGGGTTTTACCTGGGCTGGGAGTACTTGGAAGAAGGTGGTGGCTTAGGAGTGGAGACAGTGAAGCTGTGGGTGTGCTCATGGGCAGAGCAGAGGTTGCAGAAGGATGTGGAAAGAGGTCAAGTTATAAGGAATAAGCTAAAAATAAAGTATTTGTGTGACAGAAGGCTTTGGGAGACTTTGATATGTTCAGGGACTGACTCAGAGCAGTAGGAAAGATAATCTTCCTCACGTTTATGCAGTATTTGAGATCTATAAATGAAAGGTGCTGGGATCAGTGGTGTTTTAGTCCCACCCTCAAATTTGATGAACAATTCAGAAGCAGCACCTTGTGGCTTTGGGCAAAACCCTCTTCAGTGTTTGTTCCAGGGTGCCTGTTGGGTCATCGCAGGGCTGCATTTCATCCAGAAACCTTTGCAAACAAAAACTTATTCCAGCTCCCACCAGAATCTGAGGCTTTGGAGAGTTTCACTGTGGCTTTCTCTGTCCCAACAGAATGCAGCGAAGAAGAGAGATCAAGAGCAAGTGGAAATAGAAGGTGAGAATTCGGCGCCACCACGGAAAATCGCTCGGACAGACAGCCAGGATATGAACGAGGACACTTAAACTCTTGGCTTTCTTCTCTACTACTTTGCAGGCGCTTCCTGTTTTGTCTCAGTGTGTAAATTTTGCCCCCATCTCTCACCCCTCCACTATGCAGCCCAAACCACTTCTGACTTTATAGGAGCCAATGTATTTATTATAAAGTTTTTTTTCCTCTCCGTTTTTTATTTATGCCGTAAAAGTTACGGAGCAGTGGTGGAACAATTCAGTAAACAATGTAGTGTAACCTTAGTTCCTCCTTTCTAAAAATACACACTGTCACTTTTACAGGTTTTGGTGAATCTGTTGCCTAAGCAGCCGGAGCCAGGGTGGGAGACGTGGGTTATTGCAGACCCCTTCGGTGGTTTCAGCTTTCCGATTCGTGTACCCGTTGACATATTACAAGTGGTTCGCTCTTTTTTGGATGTGCACAGTCCAGCCATAAATGTGGCGCCTCACTATTTTTTTTTCTCAAATATTCTGGGACTGGCACTGCATTAAAAAACAAAACAAAAACAAAAACAAAACATGAGTGTAATTTAGGGTGATGTTGATCTTAGCAAAGGTGGTGTCAACCTGATTTATCGGTTGTGTCCTCTTGGCCTGTTGTGCAAGGGCCGTGGCCGTTTGACAGCGCACGTGATCTCATGCATCAGTGGTCATGGAGAATTCCAGTGCAAGGTGTGTTGCTTTTGTTGCCCTTGAATCCGAACCGTCTCCTGAATAGACCGTTGTGTGCAACTTCTCCATGGAACACAAGGGTGCTCCTGTGCTGTTCTGGGTATTTGGTCAGCACGGAGTCGGGCAGGCGCCCTGTGGATAAGCCTGGGAGCACCTTGGCAACTCAGTGTAGTTCTGTGTCTTGACTGCCAGCTCCCAATAATGGTACGTTGTGTTTTCCTGCGATAGCGGCATGTCAGGAACGGAGTCTGGGACTCAGAGTTGATCCAAATGTGAGCTTCCATGGTCTCTGATGAAGACCAATCTCTTGAACTCTGACAGTTCAGTGCCTCTTGCCTGTGACCCTTCACTGACTCCTCTGTAAGAGCCGAAATGGAGACCTGCAAGTTGTTCAGGTGGATTCAGATGTTTGGAGACTAAAGGAAAGGAGCATCGTCACCTGAAGGGGACAGAAAAGGTGTAGCTTAGTAATGATGTCTTGTCTGCTTTAACATAAGAAGCTGACTTCACACTGTGTTAGTTTAAATTGTTGCATTTATAGCTGTGTTTTTTCCTCGTTCACAAACCCTAAACACCAAGAAATCGCACGAACGTTTTTTCTAGAGATCCCAGATGAGCCTTGCTCCGAGCGGCTGCTGTGGCTGCCAGCTTTGAGGGTTTCTGCTGTCCCCTTTTCCATGAGGTCCCCATCCAACTGGGGGACACCACGTATTCAGGTTTGGGGACGAAGGGAGCACGAAAGGACATAAACTCTTGCTGACAACCATACGTCGCAAGGCAGAACCTTAGGAAGAGCAAGGCACAACTCACGTTGCATTTTTAAATGTACATTATTAGGCACCAAGTTTCTGCTGGAGTGAGTGGATTCAACTTAACACCAAGTAGTTTAGACCTTTGTATCTGCCTCAAAAAAAACCCGTTACCTTTTTGCTATGGCAGTAACCTCCAAATGACTGCAACGTCGTTGAAAATGCCAACTGTGTTGGTGAAGATAAAATACGCTTGGGTTTCCGTGTGATCTAGGGGCGATTGCAAGAAGACAACTCCCAGAGTTAATGCCGTCAGAAAGTGCTTTTTGTGCAGGACGTTGGCTGAAGACACCGTGATAGCGCCTGGCCTCGCCGGGGTTATCTGAAGCTGGAACGAGAGTCCTTTGAGAAGCTGCGAGGTGCCAAAAGAGGAAACGGCTGTGCAGCTGGTGGGAAAGTGTGACCAATTCGTGTGCCTAGCAAAGCTGGAGAGCTGCAGTACAGTGCTTTCAAGTTGTAAATTGCTGTATAATTCTTGATGGATATGGCAAGGTTTGGGCTTTGCTGACTTCTCTGCTAGACAGAGCGATGTACTATTAAAGAGAGTTGGTAGTTCCTTCCTGTTGTAAACCCCCGTTTTGTTCCCCCCTCGTGTCTTCTAAAAACGGTCTTGGTGGTGTTGAGAGCCTTTGAAACATTTCAGCTCTTTGTAGGAGGTAAAAGTTGCCTTTCCCAAGTTGTCTTTACGCGATGGAGACACAAAGCCTTCAAAGGGACATCACTTTGGGTGTCACTGGTTGGTTCGTTTGTTGGCATTGGTGGCTTTGGACGTGCAGTGTGGATTTCTGTTGCCCACAGTGCATTTCTCTGCGTCCCACGTGAAGCAAATTTCCTCCCTCCTCCTCCAGCTCCCTTTCCGTGCTGCTACAAGAGCTGTCCTCAGGCCATCGCACTTTGATCCTCCGTTCCCCTCTGTTTAATACATGGTAAGTGTATTATTATATTGGGTTCAAACGTTGCATGGAAGCTCTTAACTTGCCTAACTGTGACTTCCTGGTGCCTTAGTGCATTGAAAACAACAACAAAAAAAGTTAAAGACAAACCCTGGGTCTTTGCTGACCGCACTGTTTGTATAACACCCCGCTCCTCCCACTTCCAACTCTCTCGGTACAAAGTGGCTGAGATTTAGCAACCCTCAGGGTTTTTTTCGTGTATGCCTGCATGGTGGTATTTTTATTGTTTCTGTTAGTGATGTATACTAAAAGGTTTGGGTTTTTAAATGCACACTTGAGATACTTGCCAGAGATCGGATTTTTGGCTTTTTTAGTTCAGTAGTGTCAGAAATGCTTTTCTTGCTCTCAGGGGACAATGAGTCCATGTAGGAGCAGCCCCTTCCTGCAGACCAGGCTGTCGCAGGCACCTGTCCTCGTGCCCAACATGAGTCATTAGACACGTGCTGGGTACGTTTAGAACATTTAGAAGCTTTCTAACATAAAAATCTTCTAGTGACCGATGTGCAGAGAAAGTGAAGTTTTATTTAGGTTAACTCTTGGTATCATACGATCACTTTATGTTTTTTTTAGAGCAGAAATAGTTAAATACACAGGAGTTGGAGGCAGGAAAATGAAGGATAGACTTTATCATGGTGTGTGAATGCCAGCGAGGGGACAGGTAACGGCATCGGAGCAGCCCAGTCCGTGCGTGGTGGTGGTGCTGGTTGACTCCTGGAGTTTGCTGGGTCAGATTATTTTGTGTATATTTTGTGTATAACCTGTGGCTGCAAGGTTTGGTTTTCTGGCAAGCTGCAGTGGACTCTTAGCAAAGCTTATGGAGCTCGCAAGCATGTGCAAAAGCTTTTGACAAGCCCTGAAAAACCATGTGCTCCCAAAAAAAGGGCATAGAGATCCAGTCTGGGAGGGGAGGAAGGGACTGGGAGGCTCAGCCTGGACCAAGCCTGTCCTGGATTTAAACTCTACTGTTTAAGGTGAGCTGAAGTTTTTAGGTGCATTTCACAGAGAAGGTGCGTTTAGGTGCATTTCACTGTAAGAGGACAGGCTTTTAGAATCACTTAGACGTGTTAGATGTGATTTTAAAAAAAAAACCAACTTGTTTTCTCAGCCTTGGTAAGGTGTGAAGCACCAGCACTGCTGCGGTGTGGTGCGTGGGATGTGTCCCAGTGGGAGCCAGTTGCCAAGTCGGGTTGTGATGGCTCCAGAGGACACATTTAACCCCTCTGCTGGTTTGTGGGTCCCACTAAATGTGCCAAGCTGCGGCTGGGCCCCATGTGCACAATTTGGGGTTGCATCAACCGCTCTGTGTGGGAAGGTTGGAGTAGGATGGGCTGGAAAAAGGGTTTCCGTCCTCTCCGGTGCCTTATGCAGCAGCTCAGTTGTTGATGTTCAGGCTATGAAGCAAATTTTGACCATGCTGGGCATTAATCTAAAAAATATCCACTCTATCCCAGGTAGATGCAGGAGGTGTAACTTTAAAGCTTTATTTTTTGGTGAGCTCCTCGACATCAGCCTTAAGGGCAAAGCCTAAGCAAGAGGCTTGGGTTTTCTCTAACACCGCAGCTCTCAGCTATGTTCCCACTTAGCATTTCCTGGCTTGTTTGTATGCCACTACCTTCACTTTTTGTTTCTAAGGTTTTTTAATAAGACCTGCATATCTAGAACAGGAAAATAACATGTTTTTTCCCGGTTAATGATGCCAGCAAGGAAGTTGTGTGACCCACTAACGGCGACCACAGGACTAGAACAGGAAAATAACATGTTTTTTCCCGGGTTAATGATGCCAGCAAGGGAGTTGTGTGACCCAATAACGGCGACCACAGGGCTTTCCGCTCACCTCCCTCTGTTTTATCTCCTGTTTTTTGCTGTATAACAGAATGGGAAATCCTTTTCTCTAAAGAAGACAGGGTTGTGTTTACCTGGGAGCAGCCAAGGGTATTTTTGGGGATGCCCAGAGGCCGTGGGCTGATTCAGGGTCTGATGGCTGTGTCCATCCTCCACTCAGTGACTGCAGAGCTTGTCCTGAACCGCACGTGCTGGCGGCTGGGTTATATTTTATATAAAAGCCGTGTGTCATCTCGAGATTTGAACATCGGGGAGGAGATGGGACTTGAAGAACCTCATCTTTTTTTAATTACTGGGGAAAAGAACTCATCTTCTAAATGTTGAAAAGGTTGAACCTGGCCTACAGGAAAGAGCTTCTGTAACTGAAGCATGGGAACAAAATACCAGCTTTCTAATGCTCTTTAATGCTGAGATTCTGTCCTTAAAGGCAAAACTTACAGTGCATCCCCAAATATGAAGAGCTAAGGCTCCCTGAGTGTGTGATTTGTAAAACTAGGGTGTTCTAGGAATTAAAAAAAAATGAATTTTGGCAGTCTTGATGCTTTTTAAGGCGTTGTGTAGAGCTCCAGGTTTTACTGTCGTAAACCTGACCGTATGGATCCAGCTCTAAGGCAGCACCTTTACAACTTGACCCCGTTTCCAGTCAGGGTTTTTCAATTGGGAGGTGCCCATCTGAGTCATTTGGGTAGCACAAGGTGAGTGCACGCCTGTGGGTAAATGCATCCAGTGCATTTATTTT